GTGAAGCGCTCTAGCTGCTTCACCGTCGTATTTTAATAGCTCACTTGGTAGTTGATCTACACCAGATGCTTTGTTGTTTTTCAGCCGACCGATCTCCTTCTCAACTTCTTGAAGATCAGGGGTCGGTAGCCTGTCGTCTTCTGCGCGTGCTCCAAGGTCTGTTGCCGTACCACCTTCGTTTTCTGCTGCTTCACCGTTGAGGTGCTCGTCATAGTACTGCTTCCACCTCTCAATCACCTCACACTCGTTCGTGAGAAGGTTACCGTCCAAGTCCTTGCACATATCGGCTTGCGGCACGTAGCTTTTGCGCGAACTATTTAGCTTCTCGTAGAACTTCCAGATCTTCCATCGCCTCGCGATCTCGGTCTTCCTGCTGACGCTTCTTCCTTCGGAAAAACGAGTTTTGTCTCTATCGCTCCACATTCAATCTCGTGCGGTGTTGCAGCATTCTCGCCCGTGCTGCATTCTTCTCCTCTACTAACAATTTGCATTCGTCGTCAAACCAGTCATTTCTTCGGTCCGCGATTGCAGTACCTAGTGCTGCTGCAGCAGTATTACCTATGGCGGAACGTATGTACCTCCAGCCATTTTCAAGAGTAGCTGCGCCAAGCTGTTCTACCGTGGGTCATGCAACTTCCAGCTGCTGCGCGTAGTCCTGGGCAACTTCGGCGTCCCGTAATTGCTCAATGTTGGGTCGCAACATTCGACTTTGACGGGTGTTATGAACCGTCGAGAGTTTTGAGCTCATGCATACTGCAACTAGGTAGTGGTCCGAATCTATGTTTGCACTGCGTTGGCAAAGAATTTCTCCTCGATTAGAACGTGATCGATTTGGTTTTCTGTGTGTTGGTCAGGTCATCTCCAGTTGGCTTTGTGGATATCCTTGCGGGGGAAAATGTACTTCGGACTACCATACCTCGAAAAGGGGGCAAATTTCACGCATCGTTGGCCGTTGTTGTTCGATACGGCATGCAGTCTGTTTGGTCTGTACATTGCTTCCCGTCCTACCTGCCATCGTACACCTGCTCCAGCTTCGCATAGAGCGCTTCTTTCTCGTCGTCGGGTCTCCCTTCGTGTGGACAGTGCACGTTGATGATGCTGTAGTTGAAGAAACGGCCTCGCGTTGATTGGCTGCCAACCAATCACACGTTGGCGCATCTTACCCAGCACTACAAAGCCGGTTCCCAACTCGTTGGTAGTGCCACAGCTCTGGTAGAAAGTAGCCGCTGGATGCCCGCTTTTCCATACCTTTTGTCCCGTCCAGCAAAGGTCCTGCAGTGCTACGACTTCGAAGTTGCGTGGTTGAAGCTCGTCATAGATTAACCTAGCCGAGCGATTTGCAGTTCCATGATCCGAGTTTCCAATCGTAGTCCTTATTTCGTCGCGTAGGTATGAGCCGATTGTTCCGATCCGTATTTCTTTCTTCGGTATTTGCAACTTTATGTTTTTCCAGGGTGGCTTGTTGCCCCCCTCCCCCCCTGTCTCGCCGCGGGACCATCGTGCACAGCTCTGTTTAGAGTCCCACGCTGGCACTAGGACATTGATCAGTCGCTCCTAACATGGAGAACAGACGCCGTTTTGAGCTGCACTTCCATGATGAACAGACGCTTAACATCTTGACATCTTAAAACTAAAAACTTAAACTTAATCTTATCTAAGTATAAAGGGAATTCATCGTTGCAATTGAGGAGTGCAACGATTTTTGCCTGAAATGATTAATTATTTTGTTGGACATTTGTTCTAAAGTCTCAACTTTCGAAATTCTATGTACCTCGGGAGAACTGTTCCACGAAGGCAACATCAAAGTCATCTTCGGAGTTTTATTCTGAATCATTTGAGGTGTTTTTTTTTCTGGTATAACTAAAAACCTGTATGAATATCGAAATGAATATTAGAAGTTTATTATTCAGGTTGAGTTTGGATTTTCGGTTTATCAAAGGATACAAACATTTTATTTATTTGTTATATTTGGCATGGATGTCCTCAATGTGATTTTTGATCAAGTACTAATTTAAGATATTTCACTTGACTTGACCAAGAAATTGGAACTACGTTCATAGTGACTATGCGACTACTACTAGGTTTCAAAAAGGAAGCTCTGGGCTTATGAGGGAATATTATAAGTTGAGTTTTAGAAGCATTGGGAGAAATCGTTAATTTTTATAAATAAGAAGAGAAAATATCTAAGCTTTTCTGCAGTCTGCTGCAAATAACACGAAGACTTCTTCCTTTTAGCGGAAATGCCTGTGTTATCAGCGAACAAAGATTTGTGGCAACCCTGAGGCAAATCAGGGAGGTCCGAAGTGAAAATGTTATGCAATATAGGCCCAAGAATGCTACCCTGAGGAACTCCTGCTCTAACAGGTAGTCGTTCAGATTTGGAATTTAGATTATTTACCTGCAGAGTTCTGTCAGTCAAATAATTTTGAACTAATTTCATAATATAAAGTGGAAATTTGAACTTTTCAATTAAGCAATCAAACCTTCATGCCAAACACTGTCGAATGCTTTTTCTATGTCTAGAAGAGCAACTCCAGTTGAGTGGCCTTCAGATTTGTTTGAACGAATTAAATTGGTAACTCTCAAGAGTTGATGAGTAGTTGAATGCCCTTGGCGAAATCCAAACTGCTCATCTGCAAAAATTGAGTTCGTATTGATGTGAAGCATCATTCTATTCAAAATTATTTTTTCAAAAAGTTTACTTATTGAAGAAAGCAAACTTATTGGACGGTAGCTAGAAGCTTCAGTTGGATTTTTATACGGCTTCAAAATTGGAACAACTTTTGCATTTTTCCATTTATCAGGAAAGTATGCCAAATGGAAACATCTGTTAAATAATTTTACCAAGAAAGACAAGGTACTCTCTGGGAGTTTTTTGTGAGGATATAGAAAATTTCATCATTACCTGGAGCATTCATATTTTGAAACTTTTTAGTTATAGACCTTACTTCGTCCAAATCAGTCCCCCAGGAATCATCAAAAATATTTTCCCGAGAGAAAATATTCAGATAATCCCGAGCAACCTGATTCTCAATAGGACTAGTAAGACCCAAACTGAAATTATGGGAACTGTCGAATGGCTTAGCAAATTTCTGAGTTTTTTTCCAAATTTGTGATCAAAATTTTACCACCTTCTTTAAGCGCTGGAATAGGCTTTTGAAGTTTTTTCAAAATGTTTGTGAGTTTCCAAAAGAGTTTAATTTAGAAACATTATTTTCAAAAATTTTGTTCCTCAGGGCAGATAATCGCTTTTTAATTTGTTTTTGCAAATCCCGCCAGATAACTTTCATGGCAGGATCGCGTGTTCTTTGATATTGTCTCCTACGGACATTTTTAAGACGGATCAAGAGCTGAAAATCGTCGTCTATTACAATTGAATCGAATTTAACCTCGCATTTTGGTACTGAGGCAGCTCTTGCTTCAACTATAGAAGTAGTCAGTGATTCAAGAGCATAATTAATTTCATCTTTGGTTTGCAAAGGAATGTTTGAATCGAAGTTATATTCCATAAATGTTCGATATTGCTCCCAATCAGCTCTTTGGTAATTGAAAGTAGAGCTGTTGGGATTACAAATTATTTCTTGGGATATTTCAAAAGCTACTGGAAGGTGATCAGAACTGAAGTCAGCATGGGTAACCAATTGGCTACAAAGTTGACATGAATCAATATTCTTATATTACCATAGTTGTACCATAGAGGCAACTCTAAGACCAGAAGGTTCCGAAGAAACGTGCTCAACTTTTTGGCTCAGCTCTGGTACTTTCTTCGGTCCCAAGCTAATCGATGCACCCCTCGAAGCATAGAAAATTCCACGAACCCCCTCATTTTATTTGTCAAAATTTCATAGCGAATCAAAACAAACATAGTGTACAGGGTGATTCGGAATAACTGTCACTTTTAAAAATGTTCATAACGATTGAACGCTTGCATGAATTTTAGATATCAGTATATTCCAGATATACTACATATATAACCTTCAAGTAAGCATACTTTAATTCAAATCTCTCTCCCTTTACTTTTAATTACCAGCCACTTTTGTCTCGAAAATGAACCACGGCTGGCACGCACGTTTTAGTTCCAGCACTTTTGGAGTCCTGGCGATGGGTCTAAGCTCTGATATTGAACAGATTTTCCACGCATGGTCGCTTTTTACTTCTTTAACGATGTGAAAAATAAATGTTTAATTCTTTCGAAGAGATTTCAGTTTCTAAAAGATAACACACAAAATTATACAGATTTATAACATGCTTCATTTTCACGTTCATGGCTGCTTGAAATCAAAAACGAATGAAATTTCAAATCCTATTATCAATACAAGCTGATATTTGTACACACTTTAAAACAAAAATACTTGAACATATACCCATTTTACCCATTGAGAATTGCATATTTGTGAAATCGGTGATAGTTATTCTGAATCACCCTGTAGTACTAAAATTTTGACTAGAATGGGGTACGTTCAACGATGTACTTGGGGCTAGAGATGCCAGATTTACAGACATGTCTGTGAATTTACAGACTTTTATTTTTCACAGACATTTTTTTTTGTTACAGGCATTTACAGACTTTTTAGTTTTTTCACAGATATTTACAGTCTTTTGTAATCAAGGGAATTTTTTAAATTTATTTGGTTACACTGTTTGACATCTTCACGCATTAGAAATTCGCGCGTTTTCAAATCCACCACACGAACGAGCTGTCACTGTTATAGACGGTCATAGTTAGAGACCTGTCAATGTGCTTCCATGTTGTGTCCCATACGAACATTTAATTTTTTTCCATACGATTTGACGGTTTGTTTTCATCCTATTCCATCTTTTTATTCAACCACCGAATGCAGTTTTCAAAATAGCCATTTTCGCCGTTTTGTACCTGAATAAGAGTCGTAAAAATGATGATAAAAAGGAGAAAAATCGAAGAGAGCGAATTTTCCGAAGAATCAGGTAAGCTATAAGTTATGTTTGTTTAATTTCTGAGTCTAAGCATTAAATTTGTGTAGGAACTGCTGGTTCCGATGCTTTATCCAAAACCGCTGGTCAGAATCAATCCATCGATGATCCGATTCAATCCACCAGTGGTCCAAGTCAATCCGTTACTCCACAATCAACTTCACAATCTGACTATCATCATGCAGGCGGCTCCCGTAAGTGTATACAGTTGTATTTTAGAACCACGTTTATTATATTATTTGCATCATTTATTTATAGACTCAGATGGTTCAAATCAATCTGCTGCGCCACCATCGACAGTTGGTCTGAGTCAATCCGAATCTGGCCCAAGTCTAGCCACCGATAGCCCGACAATTGTCAATACCGCTGGTCCGAGTTCAAGTCGCTCCATCGCTCACGATTACGTACCACGTTCACGTAAGTTAAATTCAAAATTTAATCATGCGTAGCGGCCCAATCAGCATGTGTGACCTTAAGGGGGAAATTAAACAAAAACGAAGTAGGGGAAATGGCTCTAATATTGGGCCTATGGATCTAATATTGGGCCCATCGCTAAAAATCTAATATTTATCAATTTTATCTAGATGAATGCGTCATTGGGACGGTACTAATGGATATTTTTGGTCGCTATTGAAAATTTATTCGAATGCTGAATTTATGTATGGGCCCAAATTAGGGGCATTTAGGCCGACATTACCATGTCACAATTTGTTTTGGCAAGATGAAAAAATGGCGTCAGACATTGATTTCCGGTCTTTATACGTCATCTCGATACAAAAAATACCCATATTGAAGGGTTTTTGCTAGTATTTCCCTGTTTTTCTACAACCAGAAGCCACCATCTTGGATTTCAAGATGGCGTCAGACATTGATTTCCAGTCTCTATACGTCATCCCGATTCCAAAAATACCTATATTGAAGGATATTTGACATTATTTCCCAGTTTTTATATAACCGGAAGCCGCCATATTGGATTTCAAGATGGCGCCAGACATTGATTTTCGGTCTTTATACGTCATCTCGATACCAAAACTACCCATATTGAAGGATATTTGACATTATTTCCCAGTTTTTCTACAACCGGAAGCTGCCATATTGGATTTAAAAATGGCGTCAGACATTGATTTCCGATCTTTATACGTCATCCTGATTCCAAAATACCCATATTGAAGGATATTTGACATTATTTTCCAGTTTTTCTATAACCGGAAGCCGCCATCTTGGATTTCAAGATGCCGTCAGGCATTGATTTCGGGTATGTATACGTCATCCTGATTCCAAAAATACTCATAGTGAAGGATATTTGGCATTATTTCCCAGGTTTTCTACAACCGGAATCCGCCATATTGGATTTCAAAATGGCGTCAGACATTGATTTCCGGTCTATATACGTCATCCTGATTCCAAAATACCCACATTGAAGGATATTTGACATTATTTCCCAGTTTTTCTACAACCGGAAGCCGCCATATTGGATTTAAAAATGGCGTCAGACATTGATTTCCGATCTTTATACGTCATCCTGATTCCAAAATACCCATATTGAAGGATATTTGACATTATTTTCCAGTTTTTCTATAACCGGAAGCCGCCATCTTGGATGTCAAGATGCCGTCAGGCATTGATTTCGGGTATGTATACGTCATCCTGATTCCAAAAATACCCATAGTGAAGGATATTTGGCATTATTTCCCAGTTTTTCTACAACCGGAATCCGCCATATTGGATTTCAAAATGGCGTCAGACATTGATTTCCGGTCTATATACGTCATCCTGATTCCAAAATTCCCCCATATTGAAGGATATTTGACATTATTTTCCAGTTTTTCTATAACCGGAAGTCGCCATCTTGGATTTCAAGATGCCGTCAGACATTGATTTCGGGTATGTATACGTCATCCTGATTCCAAAAATACCCATAGTGAAGGATATTTGGCATTATTTCCCAGTTTTTCTATAACCGGAAGCCGCCATCTTGGATTTCAAGACGGTGTCTGACATTGATATCCGGTCTAAATTGGTCATCCCCATTCCGAAAATACCCATATTGAAGCGTATTTGCTAGTATTTTCCAGTTTTCCTGCAACCGTAAGCCGCCATCTTGGATTTCAAAATGGCGTCAGACATTGATTTCCGGTATTTATACGTCACCCCGATTCCAGAAATACCCATATCGAAGGGTATTTGACAGGATTTCTCAGTTTATCTGCAACAGGATGCCGCCTTCTGGATTTCAAGAAGGTATCGGTTATCGATTTCCAGACTATAGGCGTCACGTGGACTCCAAAAATACCCATATCGAAGGGTATTTGTCAGACTTCAAAATGATTTCTATTTCCTTCGCTACCAATATTGTCTATCAAAATATTTGGCAATTGAATTAATAACTGTCGCTTGGTACAAATATTTTACTCACCTTTTTGGGAGCACTGCTATTTAATTCTTGCCAATGTTCCGAACCAAGAACGGTATACCCGGTTTTGGTAACATATAATTGAACCCTGCACACGGTTTATATCTCGTGTACCAAAACCAAAATTCTAGCACACCGGTTTTCGGTTTTCAAGCTGCGGTTCTGAACATCAACTCGAAAACCGGCACACGGTTTTGATTTAGAACACACTGGTACACTAAAACTCAACCGAACCAGGGTACACGCTTACATAAACACAGGAGTATTTTTTGAACACGAACCAGCACACGGTGCTCACCGGTTGGTTCAGTTGCCCATCACTGAATTGTTGAGTACCATGTGATTTGAGGTATCGTACGATGCATTTCGGTGCTTGTCAGAATTTGTCCACTTCCCGGGGGTACCTGGTACATCTTTCTTTGCCATTGTGATCATTGGGTCTGAATATGTTCACCATTGATGTTATAGTAAAATTTTAATGTGATTTGAGGTGTCGCATGATGAGTTTTTGATATATCAATCTTTCGCGAATTTCCCAGTGCAATCTGGAATTCTCATTTTTGTTTATATCTTCGGAACCATAATTCCGATCGGGAAAAATCAAACCCTGATTCTTATTCATCAACATTTTTTGAGCACGAAGTGTTTAGAATCGTATTAATATGCTTGTAAATCGCTCTTTTGATTGTCGATTTCTCCATATTAAGGTGGAAAGTTGAATCTCTCACTAACATATGCTCCTTCTCCCGCTGCTGGCGTGCAAAAGGCCAGTACTAAGTAATTTACGGATTTCCACACTACATGGCATATAAGATCGACTCAAATTTAATATTAAATTACTCAAACTCTAGAGAACGTCGTTTACTTGTAGACTGAGTAAAATTTTCCGAGCCTCATAAATCTTTTCGAATATGAGAAAAATCGACGAAAAATTTACTCACGCTACAAGAAGATAAATTCGTTCTATGAGTTTCAATTCCGACCTAACGCATTGAAACGCCATTAGATTTCCTTCGTTCTTCGCGTTTCTTTTGTTTTGAGAACAATGAGCGTTAATATTCATATAATGCGCTCTAACAGGGTTTACGTTGTAGCTAATGAACTAACGCATCGGCACAAACCAATTATTGATTTGTGCATGGTGAAATCATTGATATTATCGATCTTTTCTGATCGATAGAACGGAAATGGGCGATTACTATGAAGTAGTGCTCTACCCTACTACCTAAAGCTACAACAAATTTTAACAGCACTTTTCAGTGCCCAATAAACCTATAAATTTTCTACCTTGTTCAACTCTTATTCCTCTTCGATCCTTGTTTGGACCCTACCCGAGGTAATCCTTCTTTGACATCGATTTGGAAAATTCCTCTACGACCCTTCAGATTCTTATAGTAATCTGCTTGGAATTCGATCTGGATACAAATTTACTGCCGCCATGGCGTCTAAGCGCAAAAGAAAAGGGCAAACTCTTGATCCCCCTTCTGATGAAATTAATTTGAGCAATCAATTTGATTTGCTCACGGATGATGAGAATGATCCATCATCCAGAAAAAATTCTAATAAACTTTCCCGGCTTAATTCCAAGAAGGAAAAGATTCCCCCTATTGTGATAACCACTTCCGATTTCCATGCTCTTCACATGGAACTTTTGAACTTCGTAAAAGTTAAGTTTTCACTACAAATTGAACGTTGGGGTGAATGCCGTGTATTTGCTGAAACCTTAGACGGATTTAAATGTCTTCTCAAGTATCTTACTGAGAAGCAGCACAATTTTTTTATTTACGACACAAAAACTGAACTTGTTTTCAAGGTTGTCATGAAAGGACTTCTTCTTCTTCTTCTTCTTCGCATTTCAAGCTTATTGCTTAGCGCATATTAGCTTATTGCGTGCTCTCAACTTAGTGTTCTAAATGCACTTCCACAGTTATTAATTGAGAGCTTTCGATGCCAATACCAATGCATGAATTTGTATATTGTGTGGCAAGCACAATGATACTCTAAGCCCAGGGAAGTCGAGAAAATTTCCAACCCGAAAGATTCCCTCGACCGGACCGGGAATCGAACCCGCCGCCTCCGGCTTGGTAATACCGTGCCTTTACTGACTAGGCTATGAGGCCCCACAACTTTACTGACTAGGCTATGAGGTCATGAAAGGACTGTCAGTGGTGAATCCCTGGATCAGATCAAAGATGAACTGGCAAAATTACTTGGAGTTGTGCCACTCCAAGTAATCAAAATGAAAATGAAATCCCATCCTGGCGATTCGCGCAACGGGATTTCCATTGATTTTTATTTAGTTCACTTCAAGTTTAGTGAACTAAATAACCTTAAGGGCTTGGAAAATGCTAGCCTTATGCTCCATGTCCAAGTGAAGTGGGAACACTTCAGGAAGACTAGAAGAACTTTCCAAAACCTCACCCAGTGCCATAAGTGCCAGGGATGGGGTCACGGAACTAAAAGTTGCTACATGCCAGCTAAATGCATGAATTGTGGTGATTCCTCTCACGCAATGGACGACTGTCCTGTGAAGGAAGATCCTAAGAAATTTAAATGTTCAAATTGTGGAGAAAACTACAAATCCAATTTTTGGGAATGTAAGACTCGTAAAGCGATCCTACAATCTCGTTCTAAGCGACAGGTAGGAAACGCTCCACGTTTCCGAACAGGTACAAATTACTCTGCTGTTAACAACGGTCAGCGAGGAACAAATTCCACATTCGTACCCGTAGGTACAAATATCACCCCTGCTTCAAATTTTTCATCTATACCTACTCTACTCGCTGCTAACAATGTTCAGCGAGTTAATGGAGCTACCTATGCTGCTATTGCAACGGGTAAAAATCAAAATACTAACCAACGCAATTCTATCGGAAATTTTGAAAATTTTGACTTAGGAAGCATTACTGCTCCTAAAATGGATTTTTTGCAGAAATCATTAATTGACATGATTACTGATATGCTTAAATCTAACTCCATGTTTGATGCTATTCAAACTGGAGTA